CGGGAGGGGCGTCGTAGCTGACCGTCGACGCCCGGTGCCCGCGCCCCCACGCAGCGCAGGCAGCGCGGCCAGGTCCGGTTCCTAGTCCGTCGGTCCGTCGTGCGCCCCGGCTGCTCGCGGAGGGAGAGTGGGGACGGCTCTTCCCAACCACCCCTCCTCCTTCCTGCACTCCCTGGCTCCTCCCTCGCTTTCTAGCTGGGCGACTTAACCCTTTCCTGGCCACTAGGAGGCGGGAGCGGTTCTCTAGCCCCCTCCATCACAGACCCCTCCCTTTCTTGGGAGACCCGGAGGACTGTGTTCGATCGCCTTCGTGGCGCCACGCTTCTAGAGAAATCCCTTCCTGAGGGGGTGCGATAGTGTAAGGGAACCCCGTGGACTCCTCCAGTTTTTCCCCTCCCAACTTTCCTGGAGGAGCTGGGCTCCCGGGTCGCCTCTCCCTCCTTGCCGGGTGCCAGGCACCCGATGTCCAGGCCTCCAGCGTTTCTCTCCTCTGGGAGAGCTCCGAGATTCCACTTTCCCTTCCGTTCCCGGCCCCCGAGCCCTGAGTGTGTGCCACTGTAAGAACAGTCTATGCAAGAGTCTGTGGGTGCAAGACCAAGCGCACATAAGCGTGCATGCGCGCGCAAGGACGCTTGTGCAGGTGTGACTGATTGCTTGCACGCTTTTATACGGGCCAGGGGAAGCAGGGTTACGTGAGTGTGCGAACCGATGAGCCGCTGAGTGCCCAGCAGCGTGTGTGTCTGCCCTGGTGGGAAACGCGCGCCCGCGTGAGGGTTTGGCGCAAGCGAGCTTGGGGATGGGTGGCCAGAGTATGTACACCCTGGTGTGTGTATGTCCCTTAACGCATTTACAAGCGAGTGCAAATTTGGGTGCGCTTGTGTCTCATCACCCTCGAGGGGGATAGAAGATCTAAAGGTGAGAGGAGAGCTTTGGCTTCACGAGAGCTTCTTCTACTTCCTTTTCAAGAGGGGTGCATTCTGATTTCTTCGGGGCCCCTTGCGTCCCTCATGCCTCTCGTGGCCTCGTTCGGGGCGATACCAGCCCCGCGACCTAAGCGTCCCCTTACAAAGGAGGCGATGCAGATCACCCTGGCCTTGACCTAGTCCAGGGCGTCGGGCATCCGGACGTTGAGAGCCCCTTCGGCGCAGGACAGGCTCAGGGCCCTCGAGGTAGCCGTCTGGGGGACCGTGGCCAAGCGGCGCAGGCGGGGTTGGGACTGCTGGAGCGGCGCCTAACCGCCGGTGCGAGGGCCACCTGCGCGAAGCCGGGCCCGGCCGGAGGAAGCGCGGGAGTCCCGGGCAGCCGCTTCCACCTACAAAGAAACCCCTCGCCCCTCCGCCTGGCTCTCTGGCTCCTCCTCTCCTGTCTGCGCCAGAGCGCAACGCAGCGCCTGGCATACAGTCGGCACTTTATAAATGCTGGTCTCATTCTTCCATTCATTCCCCGTTCCATCCATAATCTCATTCTTCTCTCGTTCTCATTCGATTTCTCTGATTTCTCCCCCAAATCTTATTCATATTTTATGGTCTCCAGACGGTCTCCAGTCTCTGTTCCCTCCCTCCCTTCCTCCCCTCCTTACTGTCTCCCTGTCATTTCCTTCCTTTATGCATCTGTTTCTTTCTGTCACTGTCTTCTCTGTCCCTCTCACTTTCTGGCCGTGTCTCTGTCGCTTCCCTTCTGTCCTTGTGGCTCCCTGTCTCTCCATCTTTGTGTTTTATGTCTCGCTATCTCTGTCTCTACATCCCTTTTCACCCCGTTTCATTAGACGTCTCCGAGCCCTCTGGCACCTTGACGCTCGGGCGCCCCCTGTTGGCTCCATCCTTTGCCCTTCCTGGGCTCCCACGCCCTCCCAGCACCTAAATTTCCTCTCCCCGCCCGTCTTATGTTCAGATGAGGTAGGAGCGGAAAGGGGTGTCTCTGGGGCTCCCGTCTCCCTCCCATCTCTAGAAGGCAGGGTTCCTGCGTTTCCCGGGACCCACCCTGCCGAGGGCCCGCGCCTGAGAGGAGGGCCTGGAGGGGGCGGCGGGGAGGGAGTGTTGGGGGTAGCAGGGTGGGATTTGGCGTCCTTCCCCGGAATGAGCCGCAGCACAATCTGTCGCTGGGTTTGTTTGCCGAGCTGCCTCCGGAGCGCAGTGGGGCTGGCTCCCGGGGAGCGAAATATCACAAGATGCGGAGACAGACGCTGAGGGGCGGGTGGGCGGCGGGGCTGACTCAGGTGTGTGCTGTCATCGGCTCCTTGGGCCGGCACTCTTCTGAGAGGGGTGGGGGGGTGGGACCCTGGGCCCCCAACACAATTGGGGACCCAAAGCTGGGAGGGGTCCCCCCATCCCGGGGTGAGCTGCAGGAAAGGGGGGTGCTCCTGCCGACCATCCTTGGCTCCAGTCCTGTCCTTCAGGCCTGGGAGCCCCAAAAGACACCCCAAATATGGGTGTGCTACAGGCGGTCAAAAATCCCTCTGCTCATATCCCACTGTACAGGCGTCGGTTTCCTATAATTATCTGCTGAATCACCACTTTCCCCTACTAGAACGCCAGCTTTTTGAGGGCAGGAAATTCCTCTCATCCGTCTTCGTGTCCCCAGCAGGTGCTCAATGAACACTGTTGGATGGATGAATGTCGGGTGAGTGGATGGCTCTCTCAGTTTACAGGAAACATCACAATGCCTTCGGTTTTCCCCGTGGAGCATTCTGATCCCTTGTTCCTCCCCTGCCTAGCCACATTTGCAGCCCCCCGAATTCCCAACCTCTCCTCCAGACAGACAGGGAATTGGAAACAGCTCTCCCTGAAGACCAGAGTCCCCTAAGAAAGTTACTCCCCTCCCCCGTGCCTCAGTTTTCTCAACTGTGCAGTGGAACATACCACCACGCATAAGCTTCAGCTTATCCAGTGAATCTCCAGCCAGTCAAGGTATGAAAAAGTGCTTAGTCAAATGAGGCTCTGACCAGTGTCTGTGGTGGTCACTGTTGTTGCTACTCCTTTCGTGGTGATTCTTAAGACCGTTGTCTCAGTAGAATATGTCTGATCGAGTTGAATGTCTGCAGTTAGACATTTTGAGATCGAAGGGAATAAACTGATGGTAAAATGTAACTGAGGGTTGTGCCTTGACGGCATCTAGGTCCGTTCCTGGCTAGACTGTTGGCCCGGCTCTTGGAGGAGGCGGGGCGTGGGGGGGGGGGAGTCGTCCTCAGGACTTGCCATAGAGCTGGCCCGCCCTCTGGTGGCTGTAGGTGGATCTGCATCCCCAAGGGAAGCCGAGGCTCCTAGGGAAATGGGCGGTTGGACTGGATTTTCCCTGAGGATTCACTGTGCGGAGGGAGAACTGTGAGCTTTGGCAAGGAGGTCATGTAGAAGAAGCAGGACATTGACAGAACCGAGATAAATCTTAACTTCATCTATGAGTTCCCACTTACGGGACCTGTCTGTTGAGTCCATGGAATTTCCCTGGTTCTTTTCTCCACCTACTTGGCAACTTCACCGTATGACCCTTGGCAGTTGGCATATGAGGTTGGGCGGCTCCATGGTCAGGAGCAAAGGCTTTGCCAGGTTCATACCCTGGCTCTGCTGCTTACTTAGCTAGATGACCTTGGGCAAGGTGTTCAGTTTTCTCATCTGGAAAATGGGAGAGGGGACAATAGTAGCTCCCAGCTCATCTGGTGGTTTAAGGATTAAATGAGATAAAGCATGAAAGAACCTGACAGCGAGCGTGACCCTATGCTCAATAGACACTAGTCATATTGGTGTTAATTTTCTCATTTAGACTAATGTCCACCTGAAGAAATAGATGTTGCCGTCTAGGGGCAGAAAGTAAAGCTACGACCTGAGGTCTCAGAAGTCATGAATCGCAGAGCTCTGTCTGGGAGTCAGCCCTTAGTTCTTCCTTCCCACCTGGTTGTGTGTGTGTCTGACCTGCTTCTGCCATAAACCAGGGCTCCCTGCCCAGCGTGATGAAAGAGATCCAGACCTAAATTCAAAGTCTTGCGCTTTAGCCCGGACTCTGCCTCCGAATGGCTGTGTAATGTGGGCCAGACCTCTCTCCTCTCTGGGCTTCAAGCTCCCCATTATTGAATGGTATGTTTTGAACCCAATGCCCTTGAAAGTCCCACAAAGCATTGACTTGGTGAATCCTCCTTTCTCTGTGACTCTGGAATCAGAAGCTACTGAAAATGAAGTCTCTCAGCTAGATTCCAGCTCTGGGGTTGTGATGTCCCAGAGGAAGACCAGAATTTCTTCCCCAGATTGCTCCCAGTGGCCAGCTGGCCTGATCTTGAGCCTTGACGGTGATCATATACTCTGGAGGGAGGGGAAAGAGCTGTGCCTGGATTTGCCACCCAGAACTTTGCCCGTGAGCTCCACGTCCTACTCTGCCTGGCCTGATGAGGACGGGGTTGCCTTCAGGTCCTTTCTAAAACAGGGAAGAAAACCTACACTAGATTCATTTAAAGGGCAAAGGTGTCAGAATGTGCTTTCTCCTTCCCTGTTTGGTTTCTGGGGTCTCTGCCCATCTCTATTATTTATAATAATAACTGGCCTTTATTAACTACTTGCTTCATGTCATGAATTTATGTGTATTCGCTCACTTAACATTCAGAGCAGCTCTATGTCAGAGCAGGGGGAAGTCTATTAATATCGCCTTTTTACAGATGGAGATGCAAATTCAGAGACTTTGTACTACTTTTAGATCTGGGCAAGAAGGTCTTGCCCTGGGTTCCTTGCTTTAGAGACCTTTGCTCTGGTCC